CATCGGTCAGACGCACAAACACACACACACACAACACACAGAACACACACACACACACACGGAGCTGTAGTTTTGTTTTGTTTGTTTTCGTACTCAGCTCCTTTTTTCTCTTTAGTTCAGTCGAAATCAAAACTCCAAACGATCCAGATGATTCTAGTGAAGTGTGTGGAGTTTAAAAACACAGTGGAGCACTTCCTGTATCACCACATGATGACATCACAAGGTGGAACAGGAGTGTTGTCAATTTGAGAGATGAACTTGTGTTAAATGTGCAGGTTTGTGTTAAACATGTGAATGAAACAAAACACAAAATACAAAACACAACTCCAGGAAACAACAACAGAACAGAACAGAACAGTGTGTGTTGGTTTGTTGTGTTGTGTGTTTATGTGTTGTGTGTTTATGTGTTGTGTGTTTATGTGTTGTGTGTTTATGTGTTGTGTGTTTATGTGTTGTTTTCAGGTGCGTGCTCTGAGGGGCCCCTGAGGCAGTTGTTTGTTGTTTGTGTGTGTGTTGTGTGTAGAGCCCGACCGATATATCGGTTGACCGATATTTGCGGCCGATATGAGCACCTGGATGCATATCAGTTATCGGCCGATATGTTTGCTGATATGGGCCAATATTTCACGTGGTCATGTGATACGTCGTTAAAAATCTTAGACTCTCTACATTCTGTTCATTTAATCCAATTTACAGACAGATAAATGTCCAAATATGTGGCTCCGCATCAGTATTTATCTGTGGAGTCATTTGTCTGTGTGTGTGTCCGTACTGTCCCTGAACAAACCACAGAGTCGCGTCACTCACATGTGTTTCTTTACAGACACAGATACAAACACTGAGATTATTTTCTTTTTACGGACAATTGGTTTGAGTCTGGATTAAAGGGACATTTATTAGTTCAGACTTGTGATGTGGGAGGAGCCTGTGTGAGGCTGAGTGTTGGAAATATGTCGACTCTGAAGCTGGTTTTGGTAATTTGTTATGAGTTATCTGCTGTGTCTCCCGCACATAAACAGTCGGTTTTCTATTGGTCTGTTGTAAAGTGATTATATTGTTCGTATATTTGTTACTGAAGCTGCATTGATGTAGATGAACTGTGAACAGACGTGTGAATTATGACATTTGCGCATATAAGTGTTTTCTCTTTCTCTCACTTTTTTTCTCTTCTCGCCGCGTGCAGATTCGTGGTTTGGCTGCGGCAGCAGCTGAAAACGAAACTTTGAGAAATTTGTGTGTGCATAGGATAAAAAAAACAACAACAAAAAAACAAAAAACGAGCATATTTGGCTGTAGTTTAGCATAAAATAAATAAGTCCCAGTTTAGTCCTTTTTCAGTCTTGGTTTAGACCTGGTTCAGTCCTGATCCAGTCCTGCTTTAGTCCTGCCTGCAACTAAACAATCTGTAGAGTCGCTTGGGAGCCAAAAGAACCAGCAGCTTTTAGTGAGCCGAGCCAAAAGAGCCGGTTCTCTAAAAAGAACTGGAATCCCCATCACTAGTGTGTAGAATGTGATGCAAAAATACCATTAGTCCGACTGTCTGTAAATATGATGTAAAGAGTCAGAAGAACAATAAATGTTTCCTAAATAAACCCAGTTTAAAATCCACCAGAGCCAAACCGAAGTTTTTTAAACAATTCAACATTTACAGTGAATTTTTACATCACTAAATATATCGGCAGCTCCAACTCCCATTATATCGGTTTCATATCGGCCACAGCAAAATCCATATCGGTCGGGCTCTAGTTGTGTGTTTATGTGTTTATGTGTTGTGTGTGTTGTGTGTGTTGTTTTCAGGTGCGTGCGGTGAGGGGCCCCTGAGGCAGTTGGCCCCTGATCACTTTGACTGTGTGGTGATAGACGAGTGCGCTCAGGCTCTGGAGGGCAGCTGCTGGATTCCCCTCCTCCTCGCCCCCCGCTGTGTGCTGGCAGGAGACTACAAACAACTGCCCCCCACCATCAAATCACCCAGGTACAACTGCCCCCCCACTACAAACAACTGCCCCCCACCATCAAATCACCCAGGTACAACTGCCCCCCCACTACAAACAACTGCCCCCCACCATCAAATCACCCAGGTACAACTGCCCCCCACTACAAACAACTGCCCCCCACCATCAAATCACCAAGGTACAACTGCCCCCCACTACAAACAACTGCCCCCACCATCAAATCACCCAGGTAACAACTGCCCCCCACTACAAACAACTGCCCCCCACCATCAAATCACCCAGGTACAACTGCCCCCCCCACTACAAACAACTGCCCCCCACCATCAAGTCCCCCAGGTAACAACTGCCCCCCACTACAAACAACTGCCCCCCACCATCAAATCACCCAGGTAACAACTGCCCCCCACTACAAACAACTGCCCCCCACCATCAAATCACCCAGGTAACAACTGCCCCCCACTACAAACAACTGCCCCCCACCATCAAATCACCCAGGTTCCTTCCACTGTCACTTCCAGAGTTTGTATTTTCTTCTTCTTCTTCTTCTGTTGTGTGTGTTGTTCAGCGCCGCCTCTGGAGGTCTGGCTCTGAGTCTGATGGAGCGTCTGATCCGTCTCCACGGCGACGCTGTGGTCCGGATGTTGACGGTCCAGTACAGGATGAACAGCGCCATCATGGACTGGGCATCGAAGGAGATGTACGAGGGCAGACTGAGGGCACACGGCTCTGTGGAAGAACACCTGCTCAAGTGAGAACTTTTATCTACACACTCGGATAAACGGGCGCCAGTGTGGGCGCCAGTGTGGGGCACATGCGGGGCACAGGCGGGTCACATGCGGGTCACATGCGGGTCACATGCGGGTCACATGCGGGTCACATGCGGGTCACATGCGGGGCACATGCGGGTCACATGCGGGGCACATGCGGGGCACATGCGGGTCACATGCGGGTCACATGCGGGTCACATGCGGGGCACATGCGGGGCACATGCGGGGCACATGCGGGGCACATGCGGGGCACATTGTACCTGATGATTTCTGTGAGTGACTAGAATCATTCACTCACAGTAAAAACAACACAAACCTGCACATGAAGAATATAAATGTGACCTGGTCCTGTCTGTGTCAGATTTTCTGTATTTGTCGAATGTTCAAAAGGTTAAATATGTTTTTTTTTTCACGTTGGTAAATGAGATGATTGTTCATGTTTGTGGTTTTGTGGAGGTCACAGTGTTCGTCTTTGATGAGATGTTTGTGAGCAGAGATCTTCCTGGAGTGGCAGACGTGGAGGAGACCGGACTTCCTCTGCTCCTCATCGACACGGCCGGATGTGGACTGAACGAGACCGACGACCCGGACGAACTGTCCAAAGGAAACTCAGGTCAGACCTGAGCTCCCGATACGAGTCGTCACTCATAACTCTAACTCATATTTGTGCTCAGATTAAATCAGGTGAGGACGGGACTTTACAGACTGAGAGTCTCTGGAGTAAAAGTCACACCAGGAAAAAAATACACAATGAACAAGAAAAAAAACATACAAATGTCGCACATAATTATTTAAGATACCTACACCTGATACACCTATCCCCGCCCCCGAGACAGATACACCTATCCCCGCCCCCGAGACAGATACACCTATCCCCGCCCCCAGGAGAGAGATACACCTATCCCCGCCCCCAGGAGAGAGATATACCTATCCCCGCCCCCAGGAGAGATACACTTATCCCCGTCCCCAAGAGAGATACACCTATCCCCGCCCCCAGGAGAGAGATACACCTATCCCCGCCCCCAGGAGAGAGATACACCTATCCCCGCCCCCAAGAGAGATACACCTATCCCCGCCCCAAGAGAGATACACCTATCCCGCCCCCAGGAGAGAGATACACCTATCCCCGCCCCGAGAGAGATACACCTATCCCCGCCCCCAGGAGAGAGATACACCTATCCCCGCCCCAGGAGAGAGATATACCTATCCCCGCCCCCAGGAGAGATACACTTATCCCCGCCCCCAAGAGAGATACACCTATCCCCGCCCCCAGGAGAGAGATACACCTATCCCCGCCCCCAGGAGAGAGATACACCTATCCCCGCCCCCGAGAGAGATACACCTATCCCCGCCCCCAGGAGAGAGATACACCTATCCCCGCCCCCGAGAGAGATACACCTATCCCCGCCCCCAGGAGAGAGATACACCTATCCCCGCCCCCAGGAGAGAGATACACCTATCCCCGCCCCCAAGAGAGATACACCTATCCCCGCCCCCAAGAGAGATACACCTATCCCCGCCCCAAGAGAGATACACCTGTCCCCGCCCCCAAGAGAAATACACCTATCCCTGCCCCCGAGACAGATACACCTATCCCTGCCCCCAAGAGAGATACACCTATCCCCCCCCCGAGACAGATACACCTATCCCCGCCCCCGAGACATATACACCTATCCCCGCCCCCGAGACAGATACACCTATCCCCGCCCCTGAGAGAAATACACCTATCCCCGCCCCCGAGACAGATACACTTATCCCCGCCCCCGAGAGAACCTGAAACCTGCTGAAATCTATAAGACACTGACATGATACAGACAGGACAGAGGCTCTTTCTGCAGGAGACATGTGCAGTAGAGCCAAGTGACAGTGGTACAGGAGGAACAGGAGCAGCAGATACTCACACACAAGACTAGAGCGCCCCCTGTTGGCTTCAGTGTGAACATAACAAACATCTGAAACTATATATTATAAATATAAATAATATAAACCTATAAGTCACACTGGAGTGTAAGTCTCAGGAAACACCCAGACTATGAAAAACTGTGACACTTAGTCTGAAAAATCCAGTAGTGAATGTTTTGGTCAGAGTTTTGGTGAGAGTTGATGCTGAGTGTTTTTGTGAGTGTTGCTGAGTGTTTTTGGGAGTGTTTTTGGGAGTGTTTTTGGTAGTGTTTTTGTGAGTGTTTTTGGGAGTGTTTTTGGGAGCGTTGCTGAGTGTTTTTGGGAGTGTTTTTGTGAGCGTTGCTGAGTGTTTTTGGGAGTGTTTTTGTGAGTGTTGCTGAATGTTTTTGTGAGTGTTTTTGTGAGCGTTGCTGAGTGTTTTTGTGAGCGTTGCTGAGTGTTTTTGTGAGTGTTTTTGTGAGTGTTTTTGTGAGTGTTTTTGGGAGTGTTTTTGGTAGTGTTTTTGTGAGTGTTTTTGGGAGTGTTTTTGGGAGCGTTGCTGAGTGTTTTTGGGAGTGTTTTTGTGAGCGTTGCTGAGTGTTTTTGGGAGTGTTTTTGTGAGCGTTGCTGAGTGTTTTTGGGAGTGTTTTTGTGAGCGTTGCTGAGTGTTTTTGGGAGTGTTTTTGTGAGTGTTGCTGAATGTTTTTGTGAGTGTTTTTGTGAGCGTTGCTGAGTGTTTTTGTGAGTGTTTTTGTGAGTGTTGCTGAGTGTTTTTGTGAGTGTTTTTGTGAGTGTTGCTGAGTGTTTTTGTGAGTGTTTGCTGAGTGTTTTTGTGAGTGTTTTTGTGAGTGTTGCTGAGTGTTTTTGTGAGTGTTGCTGAGTGTTTTTGTGAGTGTTGCTGAGTGTTTTTGTGAGCGTTGCTGAGTGTTTTTGTGAGTGTTTTTGTGAGTGTTTTTGAGTGTTTTTGTGAGTGTTGCTGAGTGTTTTTGGGAGTGTTTTTGGGAGCGTTGCTGAGTGTTTTTGGGAGTGTTTTTGGGAGCGTTGCTGAGTGTTTTTGTGAGTGTTGCTGTTTGTTTTTGGGAGTGTTTTTGTGAGTGTTGCTGTTTGTTTTTGGGAGTGTTTTTGTGAGTGTTGCTGAGTGTTTTTGTGAGTGTTTTTGTGAGTGTTGCTGAGTGTTTTTGTGAGTGTTGCTGAGTGTTTTTGTGAGTGTTGCTGAATGTTTTTGTGTTTTTGTGAGCGTTGCTGAGTGTTTTTGTGAGCATTGCTGAGTGTTTTTGTGAGTGTTTTTGTGAGTGTTTTTGAGTGTTTTTGTGAGTGTTGCTGAGTGTTTTTGGGAGTGTTTTTGTGATTGTTGCTGAGTGTTTTTGTTAGCGTTGCTGAGTGTTTTTGTGAGCGTTGCTGAGTGTTTTTGGGAGTGTTGCTGAGTGTTTTTGGGAGTGTTTTTGGGAGTGTTGCTGAATGTTTTTGTGAGTGTTTTTGTGAGCGTTGCTGAGTGTTTTTGTGAGTGTTGCTGAGTGTTTTTGTGAGTGTTTTTGTGAGCGTTGCTGAGTGTTTTTGTGTTTTTGTGAGCGTTGCGGAGTGTTTTTGTGAGTGTTTTTGGGAGCGTTGCTGAGTGTTTTTGTGAGTGTTTTTGGGAGTGTTGCGGAGTTTTTTTGGGAGTGTTTTTGTGAGCGTTGCTGAGTGTTTTTGTGAGTGTTGCTGAGTGTTTTTGTGAGTGTTGCTGAGTGTTTTTGTGAGTGTTGCTGAGTGTTTTTGTGAGTGTTGCTGAGTGTTTTTGTGAGTGTTGCTGAGTGTTTTTGTGAGTGTTGCTGAGTGTTTTTGTGAGTGTTGCTGAGTGTTTTTGTGAGTGTTGCTGAGTGTTTTTGTGAGTGTTGCTGAATGTTTTTGTGAGTGTTTTTGTGAGCGTCCCCCGGGAGAGAGATACACCTATCCCCGCCCCCGAGAGAGATACACCTATCCCCGCCCCCAGGAGAGAGATACAGCTATCCCTGCCCCCAGGAGAGAGATACACCTATCCCCGCCCCCAAGAGAGATACACCTATCCCCGCCCCCAAGAGAGATACACCTATCCCCGCCCCCAAGAGAGATACACCTGTCCCCGCCCCAGGAGAGAGATACACCTGTCCCCGCCCCCAAGAGAAATACACCTATCCCCGCCCCCGAGACAGATACACCTATCCCCGCCCCCGAGACATATACACCTATCCCCGCCCCCGAGACAGATACACCTATCCCCGCCCCTGAGAGAAATACACCTATCCCCGCCCCCGAGACAGATACACTTATCCCCGCCCCCGAGAGAACCTGAAACCTGCTGAAATCTATAAGACACTGACATGATACAGACAGGACAGAGGCTCTTTCTGCAGGAGACATGTGCAGTAGAGCCAAGTGACAGTGGTACAGGAGGAACAGGAGCAGCAGATACTCACACACAAGACTAGAGCGCCCCCTGTTGGCTTCAGTGTGAACATAACAAACATCTGAAACTATATATTATAAATATAAATAATATAAACCTATAAGTCACACTGGAGTATAAGTCTCAGGAAACACCCAGACTATGAAAAACTGTGACACTTAGTCTGAAAAATCCAGTAGTGAATGTTTTGGTCAGAGTTTTGGTGAGAGTTGATGCTGAGTGTTTTTGTGAGCGTTGCTGAGTGTTTTTGGGAGTGTTTTTGGGAGTGTTTTTGGGAGTGTTTTTGGGAGCGTTGCTGAGTGTTTTTGGGAGTGTTTTTGTGAGTGTTGCTGAATGTTTTTGTGAGTGTTTTTGTGAGCGTTGCTGAGTGTTTTTGTGAGCGTTGCTGAGTGTTTTTGTGAGTGTTTTTGTGAGTGTTTTGGGGAGTGTTTTTGGGAGTGTTTTTGGGAGTGTTTTTGGGAGTGTTTTTGGTGAGTGTTTTTGGGAGTGTTGCTGAGTGTTTTTGGGAGTGTTGCTGAGTGTTTTTGGGAGTGTTGCTGAGTGTTTTTGGGAGTGTTGCTGAGTGTTTTTGGGAGTGTTTTTGTGAGTGTTGCTGAGTGTTTTTGTGAGTGTTTTTGTGAGTGTTGCTGAGTGTTTTTGTGAGTGTTGCTGAGTGTTTTTGTGAGTGTTTTTGTGAGTGTTGCTGAGTGTTTTTGTGAGTGTTGCTCAGTGTTTTTGTGAGTGTTGCTGAATGTTTTTGTGTTTTTGTGAGCGTTGCTGAGTGTTTTTGTGAGTGTTTTTGTGAGTGTTGCTGAGTGTTTTTGTGAGTGTTGCTGAATGTTTTTGGGAGTGTTTTTGGGAGTGTTGCTGAGTGTTTTTGGGAGTGTTTTTGGGAGCATTGCTGAGTGTTTTTGTGAGTGTTTTTGTGAGTGTTGCTGAGTGTTTTTGGGAGTGTTTTTGTGAGTGTTTGTTTTTGTGAGTGTTGCTGAGTGTTTTTGTGAGTGTTGCTGAGTGTTTTTGTGAGTGTTGCTGAGTGTTTTTCTGAGTGTTTTTGTGAGTGTTGCTGAATGTTTTTGTGAGCGTTGCTGAGTGTTTTTCTGAGTGTTTTTGTGAGTGTTGCTGAGTGTTTTTGGGAGTGTTCTTGTGAGTGTTGCTGAGTGTTTTTGTGAGTGTTTTTGTGAGTGTTGCTGAATGTTTTTGTGAGCGTTGCTGAGTGTTTTTCTGAGTGTTTTTGTGAGTGTTGCTGAGTGTTTTTGTGAGTGTTGCTGAGTGTTTTTGGGAGTGTTCTTGTGAGTGTTGCTGAGTGTTTTTGTGAGTGTTTTTGTGAGTGTTTTTGTGAGTGTTTTTGTGAGTGTTGCTGAGTGTTTTTGTGAGTGTTGCTGAATGTTTTTGTTAGCGTTGCTGAGTGTTTTTGTGAGCGTTGCTGAGTGTTTTTGGGAGCGTTGCTGAGTGTTTTTGTGAGTGTTGCTGAATGTTTTTGTGAGTGTTTTTGTGAGCGTTGCTGAGTGTTTTTGTGAGTGTTGCTGAGTGTTTTTGTGAGTGTTTTTGTGAGCGTTGCTGAGTGTTTTTGTGAGTGTTGCTGAGTGTTTTTGTGAGTGTTTTTGTGAGTGTTGCTGGAGTGTGTGTTTTTGTGAGTGTTGCTGAGTGTTTTTTGTGAGTGTTGCTGAAGTGTTTTTGTGTTTTTGTTTTGTGAGCGTTGCTGAGTGTTTTTTTTGTGAGTGTTTTTGTGAGTGTTGCTGAGTGTTTTTGTGAGTGTTGCTGAAGTGTTTTTTGTTGGAGTGTTTTTTGGGAGTGTTGCTGAGTGTGTTTTTGTTGGAGTGTTTTTGGGAGCGTTGCTGAGTGTTTTTTTGTTGCTGAGTGTTGTTTTGTGAGTGAGTGTTGCTGAGTGTTTTTGTGTTTTGTGAGTGTTTTTTGAGTGTTGCTGAGTGTTTTTGTGAGTGTTGCTGAGTGTTTTTGTGAGTGTTGCTGAGTGTTTTTGTGAGTTGTTGCTGATGAGTGTTTTTGTGAAGCGTTGCTGAGTGTTTTGCTGAGTGTTTTTTGAGCGTTGCTGAGTGTTTTTTTGAGTGTTTTTTGAGCGTTGCTGAGTGTTTTTGTGAGCGTTGCTGAGTGTTTTGAGTGTTTTTGTGAGTGTTTGCGTTGCTGAGTGTTTTTGTGAGTGTTGCTGAGTGTTTTTGTGAGTGTTGCTGAGTGTTTTTGTGAGTGTTTTTGTGAGTGTTGCTGAGTGTTTTTGTGAGTGTTGCTGAGTGTTTTTTTGTTGCTGAGTGTGTTGCTTTTTGTGAGTGTTTTTGTGTTGCTGAGTGAGTGTTTTTGTGAGTGTTGCTGAAGTGTTTTTGTGAGCGTTGCTGAGTGTTTTTGTGTTGCTGAGTGTTTTTGTGAGTGTTGCTGAGTGTTTTTTTTTGCTGAGTGTTGCTGAGTGTTTTTGAGTGTTTTTGCTGAGTGTTTTTTTTGTGAGTGTTGCTGAGCGTTGCTGAGTGTTTTTGTTTGCTGAGTGTTTTTGTGAGTGTTTTTGTGAGTGTTGCTGAGTGTTTTTGTGAGTTTTGTGAGTGTTGCTGAGTGTTTTTGTGTTTGCTGAGTGTTTTTGTGAGTGTGTTGCTGAGTGTTTTTTGTGAGTGAGTGTTGCTGAGTGTTTTTGTGAGTGTTTGCTGAGTGTTTTTGTGAGTGTTGCTGAGTGTTTTTTTTTGTGAGTGTTTTTGTGAGTGTTTTGTTTTGTGAGTGTTTTTGTGAGTGTTTGCTGAGTGTTTTTTTTTGTGAGTGTTTTTGTGAGTGTTGCTGAAGTGTTTTGTTTTTGTGAGTGTTGCTGAGTGTTTTTGTGAGTGTTGCTGAGTGTTTTTGCTGAGTGTTTTTGTGAGTGTTGCTGAGTGTTTTTTGTGAGTGTTGCTGAGTGTTTTTGTGAGCGTTGCGGAGTGTTTTTCTGAGTGTTTTTCTGAGTGTTTTTGTGAGTGTTGCTGAGTGTTTTTGTGGGTGTTTTTGTGAGTGTTGCTGAATGTTTTTGTGAGTGT